GGAGGAGGTGAGGGGAGGTGAGTGGGCGGCTGTGTGGAGGTGTTTAGTCTAAGATTCACAAACTGGTTAGAAGAGTAATCAAAGCCAAGAGCTAAGAAACTAAGGAACTAGGGAGGAGACTTAACATTTCTAGACTTAACATTTCTATAGTAAAGAAAACTTAAAAGTTTCTCAGTGGTGGGGGGGGGGCTGCTTGGTTGGCTGGTAACACTGCGATTTTGGTAAGCCTCGGTCAAACCGTTTCATCTTGTTCCTAATAAGGGGCCCTCCTGAGCTTTCAACTGAAAGCCCTGTGTGTTCATGAGTCCCCACCCCCCTGGCAGGTCCTGAATTCTCATCATCAGCATCATTCCTACAATTCCATTTTGCTTTTCAGAGATTTAAGGCTTAGCTTTTTATAGCCTCTGTCCCTACACAGCTTCAGAATTTGGTAAACATCTTGAGGAGAAAATGAGTTATGTATTTAAAGTTCCTCTGGTTCTCAACTTTGTCTCTCCAGCGACATGAGACCATTAAGCCCTGTAGGCTTCCCTGCTCCCCGCCTGCAACCCTCTGGGCAATGCTTGGATTCTTAGCCTCTTGCTCAAGCCCTGAACCAGCAAACAAACGCCCCAGGGAAAAATCTGCTGGGAATTGTCAGTTCACCCTGTTAGGATCCCCCCTACTTTAGAATTTTAGGCCTTCCAATCTGCTTTTACTTCAGCAATTCTCTGAAGTAAAAAGATGGTATTTATATTTTATCTTGGTTTTCAAGTTCCCAACTGAAGCATTGATCAACCAGAAGCAACTCTATCCTACTAAGTCTCTAAGCAATTTTAAAGTGTTTGTTTTCTTCCTCTGAACTTTGAAAGGATCCAAGGGATCAATTTACAGATGTTAAAAGCGTGTTCCTACTGCAGACTATTTTATGGCATATTCCCCATAATCACAACTTCGTATAAAATATATACACAGACAGCCGTCCCTCGGCTAGGGATTATATAAAATGGCATAGTATTTGCATATAATTTACACACATCCTCCCATATATTTTAAATTATCTCTAGATTACTTATAATATCTAATACCATGTAAATATTATGTAAATAGTTGTTATGCTGTAGGGAGTATGACCAAAAAAAGTCTGTACACCTTCAGTACAACCATTTTAGACCTAACTACATAGTACACATCAGCAACAATGGAACACATTTTTCTGAATATTTTTGATCCACAGTTGGTTGAACCTGTGAATGTAGAACCCGTGGATACAGAGGACCGATTATTGGAAGATTTGAAATAAATGAGTGGGGTAGGTTTATGGCATTTTTTTGGTAATAATGTTTCTGAAGTATTACATTGTCTAGAAGAAGTATATAAGTAAGTGGAGATTGTCAAGGAGGGAGGCAGAAGGCATTCAGTGGCTGTGAGATTCAGTAGCGGGGAGATTAACTCATAAATCTTTTTATAACTTGCATTTTGTATAATGTGAATGTATTAACAATTAAGGAAAATGTACAAACACACATGCACATCTCAGAGACTCGTAGGCCACAAAGTGCCATAAATACTGTGAGGAAACAGGCATTTGGTTGTACTAACTAGCTGCAAAGACAGCGAGAACATTGTAGCCCTGACTCAGTTGGGGGCACAGAAAATTACCAATCTTTCAGGGATTGTAATGAGCAAAGGGGATTATAGTACTCCTGTGAGAGCTTTAATGAAGATTCAAAATCAGGCTATTATTTTAACAGATGAAGGTATAGTAGGTACTGATGGTGACTGTGTCAGGGCTTTTTAGATCACTTGTGCTGATGACAGGATATGGGGCCTTTGACATTTATTTCAGCATTGTACCTTTTCTTTTTAAATGTGTTGACAGCACAGCTGATTACCTAGTCTCTCTTTCCCCAGAACTTTATTCTAGGCTTCCAAACCTACTGTAGTCAACAGACTGTGGCCTGGGGCAAATCTAGCCTGTTTTTGTACCTTGGCTGGAATTAGCTTAGCTTTGTATCCTGAAGCTAAGAATAGATTTATATTTTTACATCATTGAAAAAAAAATCAAAAGAAAATTGTTTTATAACACATGAAAATAAGAAATTCAAATTTCAGTGTCCTAGAACAGTGTTATTGGAGCACAGATGTGTTCATTTACGTATCATCTGTGGCTGCTTTCAAACTATAACGTCTAGTTGAGTAGTTGCAAAGGGGGCCACATGGCCCTCAAAGTCTGAAATATTTACTGTCTGGCCCTTCATGGAAAAAATTTGCCAACCCCTGTGCTAAAGTGTCTCTGAATAACAAGTTTCATAGAGCAACTTTCTGGTGAGGTAGACTGACAATTAATGGCCCTCCCTATGTCCACGCCTTTTGCCAAGAAACTTTGTAGTGCTTTCCCACTCTGACACTGGGTGCAGTCACGTGACCTGCTTTGACCCATGGGAGTCTAAGACAATACAAGCAGAAGCTTGAAATGGGATTACGCAGTGGTGCTTGTTGTCCTGCTCCTTGGCCACTGTCATGTGCACAAACCCAGGCTAGTCATGGATGGGTCATATGAACCAGGGTTGAGCAGCTCAGTCATTCCAGCTTAGGCCAGCCTAGGTTAGCCAAGAGCTAAGGATCTCAAGATCATCACAGCTGCTTGGCTGATCCACAGCTGACCACAAACACGTGAGCAAGCCCAGCAGAAATCCCCTGAACCTCAAGACTCAAGAGCCACAAAACTGTTTGTTGTTATATGCCACTGAAGTCAGGTGGGGCTTCGTTACACATTATTCTGGCAATAGAAAAATGATGTTATGGGCGCATGACTTTAAAACATTTCTTTTGCCAAAACAGGCTAAGGAACATTTTTATTTTTACTCTTCTGGGGACAGTTTAGGACTCTGACATATGGGGGCGGAGTCTGAATAAAACACAGAAGTCTGGAAACTCCAGGGGTGGGGGTGGGGCATCAGATTACATTTTAAATTTCTGCAGAAGTATCTTAGTACTCATAATGGGATTCAATAAATATCTGTACTTGCTCTGCGGCTCCATCTGCTCACTAGATCAAGGGGATGCTAAGGCTAGGACCTGGCATGCCTCTTAACCATGAAGAGAGACAGCTGGACAGACAGACTCCACCATTTATGGAAAAGAATTCAGTTTATTTCATGTTTATAAAAATGTTTAAAAAAAAAAGTGCTCTGGGTACAAAATCTAAATGTCCACGGTGTGATCAGTCAGGAGCACAGAAATATCTATCCCTCTTTGTATCGTTCGTTCATCCATGTGTATTGCAAAGAAAGCAGGTGCTGGGAGCTCCCCAGGGATAATGCCACAGAGCCCATGAGGAAGGGGGCACAGAAAGGAGAGGTAGGAAGCCAGGAAGGGATTATGTATGTACTGGTCTGTAGTAGGGAACACTTGAATTTGCAAGAGGGAGGATTCTGCTTCTTGGCTGCTGAACACAACTGGCTTGCGCCTGTCCTAGGAAAGTCAAGCTGCTTCCTGTGCATGGGGCCCACCCCCCACTCTGCAGAGCCGCAGGTGTGGCTTCTGTCAGGAAGGAAAGGCATCCATCAGTATGGCACGAAGCGGTCACCTTCGGACTTGCACGAACTCCTTGCGCAGCCATAGAGAGTCCTGGTAGAAGCGAGGGTCGCCCAGTCTCATGGCTGTTCGTTTGTACAGGTAATAGTATAACACTGCCGCTGTGGGCAACGAGTGGAAAAGAAGCCTCAGGGATGCTCCAGGGACTCGGTCCCGGTACGAACGTGCCCTAAGGGGGTTGGGGGGCCCTGCCTCATGACTTCCCAGTGACGCCCGGCAAGAGCAGGGGGCAGTAACCTCTCCTGCTCTTGGTGTGACTGTTCCACCCAGCCCATGCTGGCAAGCTGGAATCAAGGCCCTCACTGCCAGAGCCATGGGGGGACCTAAGTGAGGCGTGAGGTTCTCTGGTCCTTACCTAGCCTCTGGAATACAAATAGTGCTTGAAGTCCATCTGTCCAGACAAAGCGGTTAGAGTCTTTCCAGCGTAAGTTCTGAAGGAGACATGAGTAGACAGGGAGGTGTTAACGGCCACATAAGGCCCTGACGTCTCCCACTTGGTTAGCTGCACAGATGCAGGCTAATCTCACCATTTTTCTTTCTTTCCCCAGCCCCAAGTTGTGTTTCTAAAAGGTGCCTAACGATCCTTTTGCTGCAAAGGGAATATCCTTTTAACCCTGAGGGAGGAAGTTCAAACTAAGCTATTGATTCCCTGTCACTCCATAGCCTTGGCCAAGGAGAAATGATATACCTTCTCTCAGGAGTTCGGCCTGGTCACTGTCTTGCCTTGAAAACCTTAGGCTCAGCTCCTATCAGACAAAGACTCAGGGTGTAATTAGATTAACGGCTTTATAGCACAAAGCCAAGACCTACTCTGGCTCCAGGAACCAGAGCAAGAGACAGTTCTCTTCAGGAAGCACTTAGACCAGCGGTTCTCAACCTGTGGGTCGCGACCCCTTTGGGAGTCGAACGACTCTTTCACAGGGGTCGCCTAAGACCATCGGAAAACAAAAAGATATTTACATTACGATTCATAACAGTAGCAAAATTACAGTTATAGAGTAGCAACGAAAATAAGTTTATGGTTGGGGGTCACCACAACATGAGGAACTGGATTAAGGGGTCGCGGCATTAGGAAGGTTGAGAACCACTGACTTAGTCTTCACTGCTCTGCTTGTTTCGTCCTGAGAGCTCTGCTTCCTCCATGGAATCACAAGGGCAACTCAATAGAATGTTCAGTCTGAGAAGGTGCCTTTAGCACAGGAATGACTAGAGAACCCTGAGGTGCCAATGTATTCCCTCAAAATGAGTACTGAAGAAACACGTGAGACATCCAAAGAGATGGAAGAATTTGGGGAGCAAAAGAATTCTGAAACATGAAAACTGGATCTGCTGGGAGGCCTATCTCAGAACCAAAGGGAGGCATCTGGGAGGTTGCTTCTCCTCGTGGAAGTGATGGGCCGCAGCAGAGGCCATGAAGCACTAAAAGGTAAGCAGCACTCTTTCTTGGCCATCTCCCCTGGGACACTGATGCCTGGGAATACCCTGTACCAACACCCACCTGCCCAAACAGCTAATGAGCAGATTTGACTTCCTGTTTTAGCCCTGGCAGACCTGTTTGGGGCAAAGGTGATCTGAATGTTCCAGAAGTGTCCCTTGACTCTTGGATAAGGCTGTCCTTCAACACATAAGGCTGGGCAAAGTGCCCTATGAAACTCTCACATACCTACCTGGCTCCAGGCCAGACCACATTCATTTCACCTTTTCTCATCAAGGATTCTGTGAGATGTAAAACAATGATGCTGGGTTCCCAGAGAAAAGATATTCCTAGTCCTTCAAGGATTCAGAAATTCAGAGCTCCACTCTTACCATGACCCAGACATGAAGGGAGATGCTGAGGGCGAAGTACATAGCTGTCAGGATGATGGTCCCTTTGAACTTATGGAACAGGAGGTTGACCAGGCCAGCCTGGAAGACGAAGGTGTTGAAGAACATGAGGAAAATGATGATGACGTTGAAGAGGACTGCAATATCCTGGATGCTGCAGACATAAAAGAAGTACAGCCAAATGGAGGCCTGAGTGAGGACCCACGAGCTGGCCCTAAGTCCTAAAGGCCTAAGGGACACCATACGGTCTGTCCTTTCCTGGGATATAGTCCTCTGAAACCCCCCCAGAGGTAGCATGGGCTTTGGGCCCCAAATGACATGAAGCTAAAACTACCCACTGGCCCCATCCGTTGAGTTGCAGTCCACAGACAAGGCTTTCCTGCTCCGACACTCTTAACTCAACAAACCTCCTGGGAACTTGCGAGGAGAAGTTAATTTCCTCCCTATGTCCAGAAAATGCCAGCCCCATCTGTCACATACCCTGGTCCTATCAGACATTTTCATCAAGCAAGACAACAATGCACATTCCCTGATCTTTGCATGGCTGGTGCCTTAGTGTCATTCAAGTCTCAGTTCAATTGTCCCCTTTCCAGAAAGACTTTAGCTCCACTACCTAAAGTGGCCCTTCCCCACCCCTGCTACTTTATCATTATCTCCACGAGAATGGAAACCCCATGAGAGCAGGACCTCATCATATTTACCACTGCAACTAGAACACTGTGTGGCGGGCCAATGAATACTTGTTGAATGAAGGAAAACCATCTCCAAGACGGTGGTTTTCTGTTTGGAACGTGCCTCATGAAATCTATAAATCATTGTGAAGGAAAAACACCAACAGCTTCCATCTGATGGGATTCATATATATATATATATGTATGTATGATTACCCTTTGCATCTGCTGTTGTATAATCCTCTTTCATGGCAATGTATGACAATAGTTCTACTTGCAGATGTACAACGACTGGGTCAGCAGTCTGACCCTCATTTTCTACGTGAACTGCTCCCCATGTCCCAAACCCTCGCCAGGTGTATTTAAAAACTGGACCAGGAACATGTCTATCTACCATGGAGTGCCTAGGACAAGGTGAAATGTTTTCTCCCTGATATTTCTCTATGAATAAGTGTAAAATGTCAAGTCACGATTGTTAGGGCCTTCAAGCTGCGTGGGTTCAGCTGTCCAGCCCCACCCACTGAACTCACATGAAGAGCACCAGCTGGATGACGGGAGCCATTCGGAGAAGCTCCGAGAAGGAATTGACAAAGAGGTCACAGGACAGCAGCAGGAACTGCAGGGCGAGCACCAGGCTGTAGTTACTGGTCTGCAGCATCTTCCTTTCGCTCTCTCGGGCCCCCAGCGGCACATCCCACAGTTCCCCAGAAAACAGCTCCGGGCTTTCTCCCCAGCACCGAGGGAGGAGAGTCTAGTTCCTCAGAGTCAGAGCTGCTTCTCTTGCTCTAAGACAAAGGCCTGTTGAGACAAAAAAAAAAAAAAAGAGGTGGTTAGAAATTCATTAATAGAGTAAATATTTGCTGAGGACCTACTATGTGCCAGGCACCATTCTAGGTGCTTGGGATACATCAATGAACCAAACCAACAACACCAAAAAAACCCAACTCGTCACTCCTAAGGACCCTTACCCGCAAACCTTTCTCCATGTTTGGAAACTTCTAAACACAGAGCTCTTTCTAACTACTTTTGAGTCCAAAGGAATCTAGGGGTACTACAAAGAGTGACTGATCATGTAATAATTCTAACTCTAATACTAATTGAAGCAGCAAACCTTTATATATTATTTACAATGTGCCAGGGACTATTCTAAGCACTGACATAATTTAAATCTCACAATAACTCCATGAGGTAGAAGATACACTATTACTTTCCCCATTTTACAGATGGGACAGTTGAGGTCCAGCGAGGTGAAATAATTTGTCCAAGGTCATATCGCTAGTAAGTGGTGAACTGGGATTCATATCAGGCAGTCTGGGTCTAGAGTCTGTGCTTTTAACCACTGCACAAAGCTGCCTCTTACCATAACTGATAGCTGGTATGTTACTAGGAGGGGAAAATGTTGGCATAGGAGAAGTGGGAAGTGATGTAGGCAGAAAAAACTGAGAGGAAATAGTGCTCTCCTGAAAGATTTTTTTCCCCTGAAATAACTCTCCATTTAATTAAAAAGAAAACCCATCAAATGTATAACTATTGCATTGTTTTGTACACCTGTAAAAAAGACACAAAACCAACCAAGCTAACCTCAATTGTAAAAGATTGTGGGTGCCATACTAGTACCCAATTACATGCATGCAGGAACTGGAGGGGGTACCCTTCCCATAAAACAACTCCCTACTGACATGCCCATTCGTGCAAATGCATACAATTTACCCCCATCTGGAGGGAAATAAAGCTGAATTTAGTTAAGATTCGATTATGAGCAAGGTAATGGTAGCAATAGAGTGGCACCAGACAAGGGGAGATGGGCCCTTATTTTCATATACTGCACGACCCAGAAGTTGCTCTGGGGGTGTCCTGTGACCCCCTCCAGCTGCATTAAATTTATAAACAAATTTCAAAATGCTTAGACATTGAGATTAAATTAACATCTGTAAAATGTTTTACAATTTACAAGCTCTTTTCATATTTATTACTTTATTTAATCCTACAACCATCTTAAGAAGTAGCTGTTATTATGTATATAATTCCCACTTTACATAGAGGCCCTAGAGGTTAAGAAACCTTGCCCCCTTCTCCTGGTGGAGAAGTCACACTTGGGTGGATGTACGAACGTGGTTCCTCAGCCTGGTTTCCTCATTCATCAAATAATGCTGATAGCTATCACCTACATACCAGCACCGTGATAAAACTGTAACCAAGATAATTTCCTGTAATCCTCGCAACTACTCTGCAAAGTGGGAAAGCATTATCCCCGTTTTACAGGCAAGGGCACAGGGTCAGAGTTCAAGTCATCCCTCCAGGTGCAGGTGAGCAGAGCCAGGACGCACAACTAAGGAAGACACCCAAGCCGTGGTCTTAACCACTACTTCACAGGCCACCAGAGGGCTGTTGTGAGAAGCCCTTACACAGAACGACCCACCGCGCTCTACGGGAAGGGCCAGCATCTCCTGGAGGTTAGGTCTTTTCGCAAGGTGATGAAGCAGTTTTCAGTTTACCCGCCGCTACCTGTCGGGTTTCCCTTTGTCTCCAGGGCAGTTTTCCTCACCCTTCCCAATCTACTTTAAAACGGGGCTGCCTTGGCAAGAAACCAAAACCAAAACAATAACAACAAAAATTCCGACTTCTGCACACAATACCTACTCCTCATCAAGCACTCTCACCTCAAAGCCTCAACGTCGGTTGTCATGGGGACACCCGTCCTGGCTTTCCGGAAACCGGTTTTACGTTCCGGAAGTAGCGGAGACGGGCTCCGTCCGCGAGGTGCTGCCCGCTCGCGCTCAGCATTCTCGCCCCGCTCTAAGGCCAGCCTGGCCGCCATGTTTGGGCCCCCCGCTTTCTTGGGCCCGCCCCTCCCGGGGCCCTTCCAGCGTCGCCGCACCCGTCTTCTGGCCGCCCCACCTGCTGACCGAGTCCTGCCTGGGTGGCGCGTGGCCTTGCTGAGGGCCAGCCCCTGGCGAGGCTTCGTGTCGGCCCGAACATTTCCGCTTCCAGGGGACGGAGGGTGAGGGACAGGGCCGGCCCATGACGGCGTGGCTGGCCCCTAGAACCCGGGGCTTGGGGGAGAAAACGCTCACGGTGGAAGTGGAGTTGGGGGTCGGCGGCTTGACGCATTGGGAGCCAGAGACCCAGCGGCTCCGGACTTCATTTCCCAGGCAGCCGCGCGCGCGACCGGAAGTGTTGCGAGCTTATAAAAGAGCGAGGTGGTTCCCTCCTCGACCCTGTCCATCTTAGGGACACGGCGGCAGGTGCGTCCCGATGTTCGGTGCAGTCCCTGGACTTCAACCCCTAGGAGCCTCGGGAACGGCGGCGGGCGCCGGGTGGCGAGAGGAGGGTCCTGGAGACCCCAAACCCTACTGCATCCCACTGTGGTTCGGGGGTGAGAAAGAGCCTGGGCTCGGAGTTCAAGGACTGGGTTCGAGTGCTCGCTCCGCTGCTACCTCGCTTCGCACTTTCGCTACCCCTCGCCCGGCCTCAGTTTTTCTCTTTTAGGAAATGAACACCGTTGTCCGTGCCGTTCTTTCCACCCGTCGCGGTTGTGAAGGCACGAAAGTTCTTCAGAAGTCGCAGTCAGCGGGCAGAGCCCCCCGCCTTAATTTTCATCCAAGGTTAGCAGGGACCTCCTTGGTCCCAGGCAGAGGAGTCAGGGCTGTGCCCTGGGGCTCCTAGAACGGTTCTGCCCGGACACCTGAGCCAGACCAGAGCAGAGTCGGAAGGACGGGTCTGTCATCACGCTGGTGCTAAGGAAGTCCTTGCTTATCCACCTCCTTACTGGAATTTAGGGCCCCTCACTCCTCTAAGAACTGACTTTACAGAAGTTATGCTTGCAAGTGAGGAGCCCTTGGAACTGAGGGGAAGTGAACTTAGATTCCTGTACCAGCTTTGCTATTCGCCTTGGCCAAGTCACAGCCTTTCTTTGAGCCCCGGTATTTTTAATTTGTAGAATAGGAGTTTAGGACTTGAGTCCTAAGTCTCAGGATTCCTAAAGCACGCATCATTCATTTGGGACCAGGGAGCAACAAAATGACTTGCTGTCATCTATCTGTAGCTCTAAAATATAAAAGTTGTAAGAGTTTGAAATAGAGCCTTTTCCTACGTCTGAGGGCTGAATGGGACATACAGGCATACCTCCCTTTATTGCAAATTGCTCTTTTGCGCTTCACAGCTGTTGAGTTTTTTACAAATGAAGGCAGGACCCTCCACCAGCAAAAAGATTACAACTGCCTTTGTTATGACACTCGCTTTACTGTGGTGGCCTGGAACCGAACCCACACTATCTCTGAGGTTTGCCTGTCCCCATTTCCTACCCCAAGGCCTGATCTGTTTCTGTGCAGCTTGGGAGAATCCTTTCTGCAGAGGGATTGAGGAGAGTATTACACTGGAGAGTAGACCCCTTAGATCAGGGTCAACAGACTATAACCCACAAGCCAAATCTGGCTCGCTTGCATGGTTTTTATATTTTTAAACAATTGAAAATGAAAAGGGTAACATTTTGTGACATGCAAATTCTATGAAAGTAAAATTTCAGTGTCCATAAATAAAGTTGTTTCAGAACACAGCTGTGTTCATTTGTGAAGGTGTTGTCTATGACTGCTCTTGCACGACATCAGCAGAGTTGAAGTAGTTGTGATAGAGACCATGTGGCCTGCAAAGCCTCAAGTATTTACCATCCTGGCCCTTCACAGACGAGTGCTGACTTCTGTCTTAGAATGGGGCTCCATGGAGCGAGGGCAGAATAGGAGACCGTGATGAGCATACTCTGAAATCATAGCACAGCCTGCCCTCTTAGAGTAAATGAGAAGATATTCTTAGCATCTGGGTTGCAATTTTCACTGCATTCTTCCTTTTTCTCTGCTTTTGCTCTCTATTTCAGGCAGAGGGAGGGCTCCTTTGTGTACTGTGAGCAGTATAACATTGCGGCCCTCTGTCTGGAAAGCCCCCATTGTCTATTCCAAGTCTGTCCCAGAGCAGTAATCCAGGACCTCTTCCTGGGGGGTGAGTACAGTCCCTTTTCGATTATATTTACTTTTTCCCTTTAACAAAGGAAAAACAAAGTAGATATTGTTTGGTGGATAGAGCCTACTGACCACGAGGTCCCTCATGCTGACATAAAACTTCACTAGGGGGTGACTGAACATCTGGTGACCTGAAACTTCCTCTGCTCTTACAGGAACTAAGGGGACAGCTCTGAGGCTGGGTAGCAAATCTCTGAGCTCAGTAGTTAATTCACGAAGCTTCTTGGAAGCTGATGGCATGATTTTCTCAATCCAGCCTCATGGAAGTCGTCCCCCCCACATGCCCCCCACACACACACACACGCCCCCGATGGTCCTTTCTCAGAGAGGATTGCCAACTTGGATCACCTTGGGAGAGCTCAGTGTCTGTTTCTGATTAGGTGGACGCCTGGCATGGAGAGAACTGGCCTGACATGGAATCAGGGCCGTTTAGAGGCCTGGGCAGGCACGGGGGTCCCTGAGCTGCAGGCTTTTGTTAATAGTTAGGAGTGTTGTGACAATACTAAGAAGAGTATAATACTTTACTCTCACGATGTCCTTACATACATTTTCTCACTTGACCATATGACAACCTGTGGTCAAGGAAAAAACACGGGCCTTGAAGCCAAACAGATAAGGGTTTGAAGCTTCCTGCCCGCTCACTGGGTTCTAATGCTAGCTATTATATTTAATCTTTCTGAGCCTTAGTTTCCTTATCGGAAATGGGGACAATAACTCCTCACAGAGTTGGCAAGAGGAGAAAATGGGATCATGTATGTAAGGTTCCAGTATGGTGTCTGTTCTCAGCTGCGTTTTGGTAAATTATATTCTTATTGCCATGCCTTTCTTCCAGATGAGAAGACTGAGTCCTACAAATAAATGTTAAGTGATTTGCTCAAGGTGCCTCACTTCGTAAGAGTTAGAGCCCAGGCCACCACTCTATCAGCCTGCCACTAGGTCTAAAGGTAAGGAATCAAGTGTTTTATCTCCAGGAGTTCTTGGCTATTTTGGGGGCCTCTTCTCTCTGTTAGCTGGTTCAGATCAAGGGACCTCACCTGCAAGAAGCCACAGTATCACCTTCTTAGTGTGAATCCGTGGGATGCTGTGACTGCCTCGAGAGCTGGACCCATGCTGCCTACACGTTAGCTGAAAGCAGGGGCAGTCCTGCGACTGCACTTGCTGCTAACCCTCATGCCCACTTGCCTGGCTTTTAAGAGCAGCTGCTCAGGGACGTGGGCATTCTCCGTGCCTGAAACCAAAGTTGGTTCCTGCGTTTATCAAGTACATGTGGAAATCTCGAAGTACAGCGGGTCCTCAATAATGTTTCTTTCAACGTGGATGAGAGGCCGTAGGAGCTTAACTCTTGCTTATATCAAGTAGCCTGTGATAAAATTGGCTTCATTAGACATCATTTGACTACAGTTCCAAGAACCTATTGATGAGATGAAGGGCTGTAAACTCTTGCTTTCTAGACCATGAATTCTTGCTTCCTTTTTTGTCCTCTGGACTTTCCCCAGAGGAAGAGAAAGCAGAAGCCTCAGGCCTGGGGACGCTGAGGGCCGGCGCCCAATGCACAAGGGAAGTGTGGGGCCTCTGCAGTGAAGGCCTGATCTCACCTCTGCAGTGAGAGGATTAGCCTCACAGAGTTCACTCTCTGGGGAAGAACTTCTCTGTAGAAGTGAGAGCCCATAGGCCTTCCTCCCGGCTGGCCTAATAGTAGTGTGTTTGCCCCTTGCTGATTGTGATTTTGCCTCCTGAAGTTAGAGCCGAGGGCCTGGGCATGTGTGTGATCTAGCCTGGATTTTGATTCCTGTCCCTTCATTTCTGTGGGGAGGTAATTCCCGTCCTGTGGGGGAGATGAATCCCAGGGTTCTGGGCCCAGAGCTGTGGCATCCAGCCACAGCAGAGGAGCCAGCTCTCCACGGCTGCCAGCCACAGGCCTGGCTGGCTGCACTCCGCACTGCCAGGGGCTGGAGTGGGGCCTCAGTCACTGTCCCTAAGCAGAGTTCAGCCCTCCCCCCCCCGCCCCAGCCACCAAGGCCTCCTAGGATGGTGTCCAGGCGGATGGCAGGGGAACTCAACAAAAAGTGTCCACCCTTCAGACCAAGAGCAAGGTCTCTAGCTGGTATGTGGGGTGCACCCGAACCAGCAAGAACATGTGATTTCTGCTGCTTCTAGGGGTGCCTGGTCAGGATGGCTATGAGGTGGTTTTACCTGTCTGTCCTGGCACTGTCATCCCTGGGCTTGATGTGCATCCTCTTCACCGTCTATTGGATGCAGAGCTGGCACGGTGGCTTTGCCTGGGATGGCACCATATTCATGTTCAACTGTCACCCAGTCCTCATGGTTGCTGGGATGGTGGTGCTCTACAGTGCTGGTGAGTATGGGGTCAGCAGGGGAGACATGCTATAGCCCAGGCCTGGATGGGCCAGATCTCTGCCCCTCCAGGGCTGGCCTTTGTCACTGTGGGGTTCAGGGCTATGCAGGTTGGGTAGGTTGGCCTGTCTCTGGGCCCAGGTGTCATTTGGAAGAAGTAGTGAGAATGGGGGCATCTAAGAAGAGCAGCTTCACGGATACGCTAGGGCAGGGGTTGGCAAACTTTCTGTAAAAGGCCAGGTAGTAAGTATTTGAGGCTTTGCAGGCTATACAATCTGTGTTGCAATTACTCAGGTCTGCTGTTGTATTGTGAGAGTAGCCGCAGACAACCGGAAAATACATGCATGGCTGTGTTCCAGCAAAACTTTATCCACAGATGGGCCAGCCGAGTGGCGCGTTGGTTAAGAACTGGCTTGGGACGCCAGAGGGCCCCGGTTCGGATCCCACATATGAGGGCCAGTGACACTGCCCTCTACAGCTAGGATGCTGAACAGCAGCTCAACCTGGAGCTGGGCTGCCGTGAGTCGCCTGGCGATGGCATAGGCTGCAGTCCCTGTGGCAGTGGGTTGCCATGGGCTACCGTGTGTAGCCAGCAGCCAGCGTGAGCGGCCAGCAGCCGCAGTGAGCGGCCGTCCAGAAGCTGGCGACTGATCTGCCTCGCCTGGGAAGAGCACAATGATGGTGCCAACTTGGGCCAGTGAAGCAACGTCCTCCACAACTAGACTGAAGAACAAAACGACAGCAACTTGTCTGTTCCCCTCCCCCCAATTCCCCAGCGCTGTTCCCTCCTCCAGTTCCCCAATTAAAACAAACAAACAAACAAAAAAAAACCTTTATTCATAGAAATAGGCAGTGGGCTGGATTTGACCAGTGAGCTGTCATTTGCAACCCCCCTGTAGAGGGCAGGAGATTGAAGCCGCTCATGGCATCGTGGGCCCTTACTTAAGGGATGTGCTTACTCCTGCCAGACCCGTCTTTGCCCCTTGCATTCAGACCTGGGTCTTGGGGCCTGGGAGAGCCTCATTTTCCCTACTTGCAAAATGGGAATGATGGAGACATTGATAATAGCAGCTTACCCTGTGTACTTCAGATACATGATCCCATTTTGTTCTTACAGGAAGCTTGTGAGGTGGGCTCTATTGTTATCCCCATTCTACAGATGAGGAAACAGATTTTAGAAAGAAGATGTCAAATAGCAAAGAGGCAGAGCCAGGATTTGGACCTAGGTTATCTAACCTCACAGCCTGTGTTCTTGATGACTAATCTCAGTTATCAAGTGAGAATTTAGTTAGATGAAATAAGGAATGTGACATTGCTTTTTAACTTGCAAAACTTCATACCAACTATCTTTATTATTGCAATGATGGAAGGGCAGACCCAAGGTACTTGCTCCTCCCTTTTTGTCACTGTCCCTTCTCTTCCCCCTTCATGGCTAACGGTTGTCTCAGAAACGATGCGAGGATAGACGATGCTGAGGAGTTGACACCAATGTCCTAGCATTTCCTTCTTCCCTCGTTGGGAGGCTCTGTGGGACTGTGTCAGGGCGATTGCCTTAATGTGTGGTGAGCATGAGCAGAAGAGGCTGAGCCCTGGGACTGCTCTCTCCTGTAGCGTCGCTGGTGTACCGCCTGCCCCAGTCATGGTTGGGGTCCAAGCTGCCCTGGAAAATTGCCCACGCAGCCCTGCACCTGCTGGCCTTCATCCTGACCGTGCTGGGGCTGGTGGCCGTCTTTAGATATCACAACCGTGCAAATATCGCCAACCTCTACTCGCTGCACAGCTGGCTGGGCATCACCACCGTCTTCCTCTTCGCCTGCCAGGTGGGTGCTCTCCACCCTCCTTTGGGTCCCCACTGCTGGGCGGCAGCCATGGGCTCTGCTTGGGGCTTCATTTGCATCAGCATAAAGATTCCCTCTGCTCGTTGCCTGGTGATGGCGTTGCAGGGCACACGCTGTAGTGGGCAGTTTAAAGGGCTGTAGGAGGTGGCTCTTCCCCGTCACACTGCCCACTGTCATCCCAGAGTGCTCTGAGCCTACTTTGTCATAGCATGTACCATGCTGACTCGAAATCATCTTTTCCGCCTTCCCCACTCCCACCTTTCTGTGAACCAGAAGTAATTCTAGAAGTGGTGTCCATATTCTGACGTCAGTGCTGCATGAGGGAGGGGTTTGGTGAGCCAGGACTGGAAGGAAACAAACAAGGAATGGGTGGATTTGCAGGACAGCGGGGTTGTAGTGAAGCATGTCGTGAAACGTTGTTGCTCGTGTAAGAGAGACAGACAGACCACATTGAGGAAGCTCGGTGTGGTGCCGGGGCCATGCCTGGTGGGAGGTTTGAGTTGGGAAGGAGGGCGAAGGTTCACTGACAGGAGGCGCTGGCGCGGTGGCGTGACCGTGGGCGCCTTCGGTCGCACACATTATGGTCAGGCACTTCCTCCCTGTGTTCACAGTGGTTCCTGGGCTTTGCCGTCTTCCTGCTGCCCTGGGCGTCCATGTGGCTGCGCGGCCTCCTTAAACCCGTTCACGTCTTCTTTGGAGCCTCCATCCTCTCTCTGGCCATTGCGTCTGTCATTTCCGGCATTAATGAGAAGCTTTTCTTCAGTTTGTGAGTGGAATGGGGTCCCAACACTAAGGTGGAGGGCATAGAATAGGGTCTTCAAAAGATGAACCCAGTGATCATAGAACCCACCCAGGGGAGGGGGCTCTTGGGGTTGGGCCCGTTCCTGACCTGGGCGGTAATGGTCTTTCTTTAGGTTGAGATTGGTAAATCGGTCAGCAGGTGTCTATCCAGCATCAAATTGACTTAGCACCTACTGTGTGTCAGAAGCTATTCTAAGTACCTGAATTATTCCTCTGATTGCCCCACAACATCGATACTGTTGTCATTGCCACTTACAAATGGGTTCCGAGGCACAGAGCTCACAGGCATAGATGAAAAGCATTCTGCAGATGTTTGTTGTGGCAGGGACTTAGAAAGTACGTCAACAGTCCAGGTCACAGCTGGTCCTGGGGAGCTTTCTCACCCCGTTAGTGGCACTGATTCTCCCACTGGGCAAAAACAGGTAGAAAAGTCTCTCAGGGGCCCATTTTTCATCATCTTCAGGAAAAATGCCACCAAGCCGTACTCCAGCCTGCCCGGTGAGGCAGTCTTTGCCAACAGCACTGGGATGCTGGTGGTGGTCTTCGGGCTGCTGGTGCTCTATATCCTTCAGGCTTCGTCTTGGAAACGCCCAGAGGCAGGGGCCATGACTGAAAGACAGGTATGGGTCTCTCCTGGTCTCCCATGCCAGGCAGGGGTAGGGCCGGGTCTAGAGAAGGGTCACCCAGGAGAGGCTTGGGCCTTACTGGGAAGACCAACCCAGCACCATGGCAGGAAACCAAGTAGCTGGAAAGTGGGGTTAGGCTAGCTGATGGGGAGCATCATATCTGGCCAGCACATCCCAACTATCACAGCAGATGCAACTGCTCAGGCTCAGGCGCTCCCAGGATCCTGTCCACTGGGAGAGGACTGGGGTTACTCCCTTCCCCAAGTTCCTGTGGTTTCACAGGGGGGAAGTGTGGCCTTATTTTCCCCAACGAAGGACTTGAGCATGAGGAGTGGTGTCATCACTGCTACTTTTCCAGCTTTGGGGCTGGTCTGATGTGATGGGAGCTTACGTAGCAGGTGCTTGGTGACAAGTTGAGTGCCTGGTTTTTTCTGTTCTTGGCCTGCCAGGCACCTAAAAGATGGGGTGAGATGGGGTGTGCATCAGGCTGAGGAACGTTGGGGCTTCCCTGAAAGATGTGGTGGCTTGAGCGGGGACTGCTCTGCAGGTTGGGGGTGTCTGTGTGAACAACTCCTACCTGGTGTGACTCCTGTAGGTCAGGGGCCGTTTTGATATTATGTCATTAACCCCTGTGCATCTGCCTATCGTTCCAGCCCCTGATGCACGAAAGGGAGTGAAGCAGGAATGGACTCCCAGGAGTAGTCGGTGGTGCGGTCTGGACGCCCCTCAGAAGCTCTGATCTACCTGGGGCTCCCCTCTGGTTTCGGCAACAGACTTGCTTTGGGCTCTGGGCCCAAACCTCTCCTTCCCTCCGTGTTGGACCTGCTCTCTTCACCAACTTGTTGCCCACCGCTTTTCTTGGTGGCTTTGACTTCTGCACCCCTTCTTGGCGTCGACTTCTGAGATCCCCCATGTATACAGGCCCTCCTTGCCCTGGCTGCTCACCCCGCTCCTGTTGTCTGTCTGAAGTCCAGCTGATTTCCCCTTTCGACCCCTCAGGATGTGGTAGGAAATCCCGAGAGTTCAGATGAGCCGGGACTCAAGTGCAGTCTGCAGTGTGGAAAGCGAGGGAGGCGGCATCCGTCAGCTTTCCCCATGAAGGTGTGCATTTCATTTAGGGGCCCGCCGTGGGCAGGCTTCTTCCACTGTGACCTCCATCTGGCCCACCTGGACTTGAGGCTGGGCATGAGCATTGTGCGGTGATGGAAGGAGACGGGGAGAATGGTTGCAGGGCAGCTTCTGCAGAGGCGCTGGGGCACTGACTACTGTCTGCTGTTGTTTCATGTCATTGCATCCACTGTCTGCATCCACTGTGACAGTGTGGCTCTACCTCTTCTAGTGACTGCTACAGCTGGTGCCTGGATCCCAGCCCGTCCCTGTGACTTACTTTCCTGTCACTGTTAGGCAGCCCTATGACCTCTGGAAACCCACTCTCCCAAGTACAGACAACTGTCCCCAGCTGTCCCAACAGGGATGAGGAGCAGGGGTGCCTCAGAATTCCTTTAGCTCGCCAGCTCAGGGCTTCCCTTCCTGTCTCCAGGCAGGTTCATTCAAACTTGCTGTCTTGGCACGGCCCTTGCCCCGCTAATTTTCACACTCCCGCCCACCACAACACATGCCAAAGTTGGGGTGCATGTGCCCAGCAGTGCCTAGGAGCCACGGCCACCTTCAAGGGCATTCCTGGCTGAGCATCAGAGTGCCTCACCTTCCCTCAGTCTTGTGCGTCATGCTGGAGTGTGAGCTGTAGCTCTTCTCGGGGGAGAAACCAGTGGGAAGGGAGGGGTCTGGCTCCTCGCCTTCGTGTTGGCACTGTGGCTTTTCCTGCCCCCTCCAAACGAACCCTGCGGGTCCCGGATGCCACACTGCTATGCTTAGATGACAGGCAGCGTGATGCTTGGGATTCAGCGTGCACTTACTCCCTGGCCTGTGGCAGTGAGGCCGACTGGCCACCCCAACCCCACATGGCCAGATGCCAGCTTTGACTGAACCTCCCTAGTGGCTGAAGCCTTCAAAGCCACTGGGATGACTGCCAGGCACCTTGGTCACATGACCAGCTCCCCGCTTCCATATGGGTAGGCATTTCACCTGTTTATGAAGCCTGATTTTCATTAAACACGTGTTTAAGAATCAAAGTCTTCTTTGCTGAAATGTCATTGTGGTTAAATGAGTTCTGGGCAACTTGTAAAAGCCTCAGGACAGTTCCAACTCGGACCCGGGGAGAGAGAAACTGGAAACTAGAAGGCACCCAAAATCCACGATTGTCTTCCTGGAGTCGCATGTGACTCCTGATAATGTGTGCATGTCCTTAACAGTGAATGGCTTTTGAGCCCTTGGTTAACTCATGAGGAAGGAAATGTTTCCCATTTTACAATCTGGAACGCAAGAGGATGAGTGACTTGCCCGAGGCTACCCAGCCAGGAAATGGCAGAGTTGGCATCCACAGGCCAGATGTCTGATGCCAGACTCTCCTCCCAGCTGATGGGTGTCTGCGTCCGTGCACACAGATAACTGTGCCTTGTGGTCAGGGACCCTGGACAGAGAAGCCCAGGGACTGAGGGAGCCTGTAGCCAGGTTGGGGTAAAGTGAGTGACGGGGGCTCCCCTCCCAGTGTGACCAGCTGCAGATGCCGCCGGGCAGTGGAAAGGATGACCTGGAAGGAGCTGGATGCAGACACCAGTGATAATAGAACTCCCAGTGAGGGACCCCCTGGACTGTGCTGGGCGCTTCACCATCTCCTACATCCCTAAAAGGCAGCTACCATTCTGATTTTACTGATTCCAAGAGGCTAAACAATAGGCCCGAGTTTATGGAGCTGCTTTGAAGCAGAACCAGGATTCAAAGGTGTGACTGTGTGAGTCCACGCCCACGCCCACGCCTCCAACAGCTCCCCCACACCGAGTGCGGGCCAGATGGGCGCCGCCCCATCCGCTGCATCCCACTTGGCAGTGCCATCGGTCATCGCTCTAGAGCAGCGGTTCTCAACCTGTGGGTCGCGACCACTTGGGGGGACTGAACGACCCTTTCACAGGGGTTGCCTAAGACCATTGGAAAACAAAAATATTTACATTACGACTCATAACAGTGGCAACATTACAGTTATAGAGTAGCAATGAAAATGTTATGGTTGGGGGTCACCACAACATGAGGAACTGTGTTAAGGGGTCGCGGCATTAGGAAGGTTGAGAACCGCTGCTCTAGAGCAACCCGGGGGCTGGCTGGGGTGCAGTTTCTGTTCTACCACTGAGCCTTACAACATGGTGATTTCTTTTCCTCCTGGTGTCCCATTTGCCCATTTGATTCCTGAAGAATCAGTGGGTTCTGTTAGTTTAGTGCTGAGAAAAGCACACCCGTCAGGTGTGGTGTGTGTGTACAGGAAGACAAAATGGGGATCCCAGGGGAGCCAGCCCAGCCGCGCAGACCGGGCCTTTGCAGCTCAGGTGGTAGGAGATGGGGCATGGTCATCACAACCAGGGGCCGAGGTCTCTGTCCCGGGGCAGCAGTGGAGCCACTTGTTGACACGCTTGGAAAAAGGTCCCTCAGAAGAAATAGCAGCTCTGTTGCTTCAGCGTGGTTTATTAGCTTGCTTTTCCACACCGGCTCAGGTTCAGGTACAGAAAGCCTTGCACACGGAGTCTTAAAACCAAATTAGCATGGACAGTGAAAGGCTATACTGCCACCCAGGCGGTACTGCCTCATTGCTGAAGCCCAGGGTTGGCTGGGGGCAGAGGGGGGTGACCCCGGGACCTCGCCCTCCCTGAGGAGGGAAAAAGTGCTGAAGAGGCACGGGACCCACTTGGCCTGCAGGCTGGTAGGGGACTCCCTGCCAAACTCAGAGGATAGGCCTGAGGCGTGAGGGGCGAGGGAGGGTGACAGTGGAGGGCAGAAGTGACAATGGCCACCTCTGTGTAGCAGTGAGAGGCACTGAAGCCCAGGGAGGCATTCACACACCCTGGCTCTGCAAGACCTCCAGGATGGCACGGAGAATGGCCGCGGCGGCCACTGCCCCGGGGTCTGGCTGATCCAGCCGCGCAGAACTGATATAACTGGCTCTTCCTGCTCCAGCTTCCATGTTCTTGGTGGCCTGGGCTGCGTCTTCTGCGCTCTGAGGGGGTGGGGGACGAGGTTGAAGGATGAGCCACCAGGCCTCCTTCCTGCCATGGAGCCTGCACCCTCCTGTCCCAGTTCCGCCAGCACCCTCTGTGCTGCCACCACATAGAGAGGTCACCTCCCCCCTGCCTCTTAGCAGGGCAAGGGGCCGCCATTTACTGAGGACTCTTGTGTCCCAGGCACCATGCTGGGGCTCTACATATCTCGTCAGCCTCACAACACCCTCTGAGACAGGTAGTCATCTCCATTTTTAAGGAGGAAACTGAGGCATAGGAAGGTCATTAACTTGCTCCAAGTCTGTCTCGCTGGTTGGCGGGGCCCAGCCTTACTCACCTGGACTGCTTTGGTCAGGATTTGGAATAGATCAGCCCCCGGGCTCTTCCAGGCTCGGAGCTCTTGTCCTGCTGCCCACAGAGAATCCAGCTGCACAAGGTGAGGGAGAGGGGGCTGAGGACAAGCCCTGCCACTGGGGGTGGCCTTCAGGGCTTCTGTAAGGAAAGAGGGAAGGGCTGGGCTGGGTACACACCATAGTCCTGTCCCCTGGGGCCGCCTTTCCATACCTGGTGGGAAAGAGAACAAATGAGGCTCACTAGGGAATCCCTGTGGGGGTGGAGCAGGGGACATCAACCACCTCCCCGAGCCCAGCTCTGGTCTAAGGCACAGGGCTCTGGCTCACTTCTGCATGGCCTCCAGGCCGGCATCCATGGCAGCAGACCAGGCTGGAAGGTCAGTCTTCGCCTTGAGCGGCTGGGCCGCTGCAGTCAGGAACAGGCCGTACAGCTGGGGAGGACCAGAATGCTGAGCACTGGGCGCGGGCACGGGCCTCAGCCAGCCCGGGACCCCTCGTGTCGTGCACCCGCCCCGGGGAGCTGCTGACACTCACCGCCCCAGATGAGCCTCCCATCTTCTCCAGTAGCAGGAGGGACAATTTGGAGAGTAGCTGGGCAGGGCTGGCAGGGGGTGGGCCCTCCTTCAGCCACTCCTGGATCGCTGCAGGCAGAGAGGTGGCAAGGAATTCAGAGACCCTCCCTCCCATCCGCCTGAACCCCAACAAGTACCCAACAAGTACCGAACCCCAACAAGTACCAAGGTCCCACTGCCAGGTAGCAGGAACGAGGCCTGGAAGAGGCTGAGGGAACCCACATGAAAAGATTCTAAGACTCCCTTTCTATATCTAGTGTGCAGTCTGGAGGGGTGGGAAACGGTGACTGACAAGGACCTCGGCAGTCACCCAGCAGGTGAGGCCTGCCTGGACACCCTCACCTGACATTCCACAGCTCACTTCCCTACTTCATTTCTTCATTTTTCTCCTCAGCCCTTTGCACTACCATCCTCTATCTTCTACTGATGGTGGTGGTTTGTCTTCCCACCAGAAAGAACACAAGCCACGAGGGCAGTGATTCTCCTCTGCTTTGCTCACTACTGTATCCATAGAGTCGGGGGCAGTGCCTGGCCTGTGGTAGGCACTAGATACATTTTTCTTGACCGAATGATGCTGGACAATTAAGAACTGTTTACTAGCCCAGGTAAGCCAAGAAAAATCAGGACAATAGAATGAATTCCCCTTGAATCTGAAGTTATTATTCACTGCAAAATATTACATTTGGTTCTGTGGATAATTACCTTCCCACACTTGTAGTGTTAGAAGGGCCTTTTCTCTATGAAAACAGGTGGAAGGGATGCTAGGCTTTGTGAATATCCGTGCTTGGCAAAATAAAAGTTGGCAACCCATGTCAGCCCTCCAAATATTTTTCAAATTGTCCTGGTTCATGAAATGCCAAACTCTCAGAACCAAAGAGCCACCTGCCCCTTTCCTAACCCCAGAGGGGCCCTGGCACCAACCTCTGGCAGCGCGGCTGTGGGTGGTACCACAGTCCCCATCACCGGCGGCACGGTCCAGGGCGTTCAGATGTTCCTCCAGGCCCAAGAGGCTGGTACACACCTGTTCCAGCACAAGCACCATCCGCTTCGAGGCTACGCCTGAAGAGAGAAGACAGCAGGGAAGAGGCCTGCCTGGCCCTTCTCACACCGAACTTCAAGGTGTGGGAGGTATGGGCCCCTGCACACCCTGCACCCTTCAGGGCTCGGGCCAGTGCCCTGGGCCACCTCCCCCAACAGCAGGGCTTGATACCTCCCGCAGCAGTGGAATCAGGGGCTTCCAGGGGCTCGGCGGGGGCTGCCCGGCTCCGCTTCCGCCCGGTCACGGAGACCTTGGGCACGTTAGGCCAGGCCGATGCAGTGGTTTCAGCATCTAGTGACAGCAGGAGGACTCTCTTAGACACGGGCTGGCCAGTCAGGGATTAAGTGGGGCCTGGATTCCCCACATGGTGGCTAGCCACCTGCATCTCAAAAAGCAAGTGCTGAGTACCTACTGTATACAAGGGAAGGTGGGGGTGTCCCTAGGGAGGGTCCTCATACCAACTCCCCCACAGTCATGTGAGAGCTGGTAAAGTCAGAAGGGGCCTCTCCACGGGGGCCTGAATGTCATGGTCAGCCCTGATGAGGTCTCTCCCAGTCCCCCTGGGTCCTTTAGCTACAAGGCTTGAAGGACTCCAGGTTCCAGGTCTCACCTATTAGTTTCAGAAGGGGCTGATCCACCAGCAGAAGGGTGAGAGAAAGGCCAGGCATCTCCAGGGCTGACATGAAGGTGCCCACGAGGGCACGGGCAATCTTCACCCCGCGGCCCTCTGCAACACCAAAGCATGGACAACCGCGATGGAAGGTGGGAAGGGCGATACTCCACCCCCACCCACCCCCCCGGAGCAGCAGAGAAAGCAACAGCATAAGAGGAAAACAAGGACTGTGGAGGCTGGGGCCCTGAGGTCAGTATGGAAATGGCCACATCTGCTCAGGTCATTCCTCCATAATGCTCTAAATTATCATGTTCCCCAGAGATGTGCTTCCTGTAGGGGCAGATGGGTAATTATCAGTCTCATTTACCGAACTCTTACAGGTGCCAGACACCACGATGAGTGCATTACATATGTTTAATCTCATTTAATCCTCACAACCACCTTATGAGGCAGGTACTGTTATTTTTACCCCCGTCTACAGACAAAGAACAGGTTCAAGGCTCACAGCAATTAGCTGGCAGAGTGACCCTCTAACTCGGGCTGTCTGACTGCACAGCCCATGCTCTAGGCCATCACAAGACCCTACGTCAGCTGCTTTCCTTATGTCCAGTTTCAAAGGGCTGGAGGGAAGCAGCTCGGGGGGTTGGGAGATCCCCTTCCAGGGCGGGGCTCACCCAGAGAGCGGACAGCAGCGTCGGCGATGATGCCCAGTTCCAGGAAGGACAGGCCACCCAGGTTGTTGACCATCAGCACCACCGAGGAGCCTGTGGGCAGACATGACACCCCGGTGAGACTCTCTGGGCTCCCCTACCCAGGGGGGAGGAAGGGCTGGGAGACAGAAGGCATGACAGCCCCTTACCAGCCTGCACAGGCACATGGGACACGTTGGAGGGGTTGGTCATGTGGTCAAGCATGAGTGTCACAATCTCGCTGGCGGTTGCCATCTGCCAGAGGGAGCCAGAAGTGAGCTGTATCCCAGGCCTTGGCCACGCACCCACTCTTCCATATCCATCCACCTATTCACCTACCCACCCATCCATTCACTCATCCATTCACTCATCCATCCAGCCAGCCAGCCATCCATCCATCCATCCATCCATCCATCCATCCATCCAGCCAGCCAGCCCGCCAGCCATCCATCCATCCAGCCAGCCATCCATCCATCCAGCCAGCCAGCCAGCCCGCCAGCCCGCCAGCCATCCATCCACCATGGGCCAGGGAGTCCACCTACCTTTATCCGGCGCACACCAGCTTCCCCGTGGATCCCTGTGGATAGACGCAGCACTGCTGACTCACTCAGGCCTGGAGATTCGCTCATCGTTTTTTAAATTAAGGATTTACTAAGTGCTCAGAGCTAAGCTAGGTGCTGTGTACATGGGGAGTGGGGGGTGCAAATGGGCAGACTAAAAAATACAGTCTCTGCTCTCCAGGAGCTATGGCGTGGTGGTAGAGATAGCCAAGAACTTAACTTTTAACTAGTTAAGTAGGTTTAACTAGAGGCAGTCACAGTGAGGCCACAGGATGCCTCCGCCCATCATTTCGGAAGCACAGGGGACGAAGAGGGCAAGCTTTGCAGCTAGGGTGGCCTCGGAATGGCCCTTGAAAGAAGGGCTGCATTTTGGCAGAGGACCTGGGAATGGTGGGAGCAAAAGGCAGGGAGGTGGGCAGTGTATGGAGCCCCATGTGGCTGGGGCCTGGGGTGTGGATGGCAAAGCAAGGAGAAATCAGGCAGCTTGGGCCAGAAGTAGCCATTTAAAAATACCAAGACCAGGGGCCGGCCGAGTGGCTCAGTTGGTTAAGAGCTCGCTCAAGAGTTTGAGCTCTGAGCAACAGCGGTTCAATGCCCGGCCCGAGCTGAGCTGCTGCTGAGCTGCCAAAAGGTGGCAGGATGGCTCAGCTAAAAACAAAACCAAAAAAAAAAAAAATACCGAGACCATCTAAGGTGACAGCTCCAGGTAAGCTGAGAGGACCAGGTAGATGGCTCCCAGGGCACACGACATGGGCAGAACCCAGTGAGCAGGCATGGCTGGGACAAGCTTACCCAGGCCGAGCTCCACCTCATCAGCTGCAAGTTCAAAGGTGGGTCTGGAACCAGGGACGCTGCAGGAGGACAAGCTCACCCCCAGGGTTCCTATGAAAAGCGAAGTATAAAGGGGATGACTGCGCTGCTCTTGGCATCAGTCAGGGCACCAGGGGCATTGGGCAGGGTGGCAGCATCTGGCAGCCCTGCCCACAGGCAGCCTCTTCACTGAGACAGGTTGCCAGGCTCTTCATCTCAGATGAAAGAGAAACCCAGCACTAGGACACAAGGCTACTAGGCCCCAGAAGCTCCCCAGGGAGACATTCCCTGAGCCCCTGGGGACTAACCTGGAAGCCCTCCTGTGCAGCTGCTGGGAGCCTGCTCCTAGTCCCAAGGTAAGCTTCAACCTCCTCCCCGCCCTTCCCAATCCCTGGGCTGGCACTCACCCATGGCCTTGGCAACCACGCTCACCCGCTCTGTGATCTCCTCCAGCCCCACACCTGCCTCAGCCAGGGCACCTGCCACCTGTACACACACAGAGATAAGCCCCCCAAGGGGGAAGGAGTCACTGTAGCACTTGGGGGCAGGGGACAGGCTGGGGCTGAGTTTCTAGTTGGGCACAGGGACTGGGTACTGCCACGTCAACCTGGCCCATCGTGTTTGCGGCAGAAGGTTGTACCCCCACATTCACAATGCACCTATCAGGAATGTTCAAGAATCCCAGTCTGTTGGAGCCAGAAGGGACTTTACAAATGGAGAAATGGGCCCAAAGAGGGGAGATGTCTTATCCAGTGTCACACAGCCAGTTGGCGGTGTTTCCTGATTCTTAGTCTAGAGTTCTTTCTCCAGGGCATACTCTGTGGCTCACCCACTCACTCACCCACTCACCCATCTACTTACTGATACATATATCCATCCATCTACCCACCCACCTACCCACCCACCAATCCACCCAGCCAAGCATCTAGTATGTGCTGAAATTAAAAAAAAAAAGTGACTAAGTCACAGTCCTTTCCTGAAGGAACTCAGTCTAAGAGGGACTGGGGAAGGAGACACACACAAATGGAACATTTAATGCAAGGTGGTAAATGCCATGGTAGAGTTCATGACAGGATGATGTGACGGGAGCACTGAGGAGGGGCTCCTAACCAACTCGGTGCAGTGGGAGGGGAAACCTCCCAGATGGGGAGACATCAGGGCTGGAACTAGACGGAAACAGTAGGAGTTAGCCAGGCCAAAGTGGGTTGCATGGGGAAAGGACTTTCAAGGCTGTAGATACGGCATCAGGAAAGCCCCAGAGGGGGACTGCAGCTGGTGGTACAGGGAATTGGTGTTAATGGAGCATAAGAGGATGGTAGGGATGATGGAAGATGACACTGCAACGTCAGGGAGCTGGGGAGGGTGTGGTGGGCGCCTGACCAAGGAACGTGGGCTGACTCTAGGAACACTCAAGGGCTTGCAGCAGGTGAGCAGCCTGGTCAGGCACACATGTTCAAAAGGCACCTCTGGGGTCGTGTGGAAACAGATCGGACAGGTAAGTCGGAAGCAGGCAGGGCAGCCCACTGAGGAAGCGGCTGGGTGTGGGGACTGGAAAGGGAAGGGCCTGGGAGAATGCCTCCATGCTGGGCTTAGGCAGCGGAGCCCAGCTACCTAAGGGGTGCTGGGGAAGGAGTGGCTGCCTATGGGGTGGAGAAGCTGGAAATGTCCAGGTACCAGGTGCCGCCAGGAGGCAGCGGGCTGGGAGGGGCTGGCCAGGCCATGTCCCTGGCGGGGCACCTCACCTTGTGTATGAGCACTGTGCCACAGAGCCCTCGCCTGCCTGCCTTCTTCAGGACGGTGAAGGCGCTGTCATCCCCAATGACCACCATCTCCACAGGGATGCCCTCAGCCCGGGCCTGCTCGCGGGCCAGGCCGAAGTTGAGCCGATCCCCAGTGTAGTTCTTGACGATGAGGAGGGTCCCCACTGTAAGGAGCAGCCAGCAGTGCTTGCCCTCACCATTCCCCAGCTTGCCCTCCCGGCAGCAGCCCCTCCTGCATGCCAGGCTTACCTGTGCCTGCCTGGGCCACTGCCCTGATGGCCGCCAGGATGCTGCCCACTGCCGGCGAGGTGAACACAGCTCCTGCGATGACCCCCGTCAGCATCCCCTTCCCTACGAAACCTGGAGACGGGAGGGGTGGGGAGAGGATGCCAGGTGGGGACCTGTGCCTGCTGTCCCTGGGCCTACTTCCCATACTCCTGGGCTGCATGGTTTGGTGGGCCCTACTGTGCGCTTGATGGTAGAAGAGCACCTGGGTTGCTCTCCAAAGGTCTTCACTCAGGAGTTATCTCCTTGGAGAGGTCTTCCTTGACCCCTCAACTGAAGTTCTCACTCACCCCAGCCCCATGACTAACTGTTCCTTTCCCTGCTCTCTTGTCTTCACAGCCTCACTTACACACTCTGGAATGATCTTTCTCACTTAGGTGTTTACCCAGTTACTGTCTCCCCAGAGGAGAACAGAAGCTCCACGGGGGCAGGCACCTTATCTGTCTGGTTCACTGTTGCATCCTTAGTGCCCAGAACAGTTTAGGTACACAGTGAGTGCTCAATGTTTGCTGAATGGATGGATGGACTTGCCAAAGGGAGACAGGAAAGGTACAGAGGACACAAAGCCTGGTCCCTGCCCCCAGGAGCTCTCAAAGAGAGCTCACATGCCTGGCACTGAACAGGAAACAATGCAGGACTGTCCATGTTGGATGTAAAATGCAGGGTGGGAATTCAGAAAAGGGATCTTGTTCTGGGCTGGAAGAGTCAGGAAGGCTTCATGGAGGAGGGGATGGGTCAGCTGGGCTGGGAAGGCCAGGAAGATTCACAGAATCACTGACTCTCAGAGCTGGAAGGGCCGAGAGATCATCTGGCCCAACCTCCTCCTTTTATAAGACATGGAGACTGAGGCTCAGAGGGAGACCACGACTGGCCCCAAATCACAGTCTGAGGGAGCAGGAGAGGGAACCAGGACCCGGTTCCTGACTCTGGGCTTGGCTCTGTCCTGACCCTCCTAGCAGCACTGACATCTCCCCGGGGCCCCTATCCACTCTGCCCAGCACCTGCCCCCGACCTCTGGCCCAGGGTCCTCACCGGCGTGGGCAGGCTCATGGCCAGATCCCCCACCCGACAGCAGTGCCACTCGGCCCTTGAGGCTGTCCAGGTCGGAACGGAGGGCCACGCGGTGGCCCTGCAGGAGCTGCAGGTTGGCGTTGCAGGCCACCAGGCCAGCAAGGGCATCATCGGCACAGCCTGTCACCGAGTTGACGAGCTTCTTGGAGGTCTGTGGGAGAGAAGCGAGGAGGCGGCTCTGGGTGCTGTCTGGCCCCTCACCCCACCCAGCCACACTGCCATGGCCAAGATCCCTCCTTCACGCCCACTTAGGAACTCCAGGGATACACAGAATTGGGTGTCATTTTATCAGGTGGATGTTTCTGCGAGTTCTTAATTTGTCACTTTTTATCCTTTGCCTAATTTATTAAGTATTTTGGAATATGGCTTAAATTATCCTGAAGAATGGTTTCAATACAAAGAAAATGGGGGAACTGGAGTCCTGAGTATAAAAAAATGTAATAAGGGCGAGCCAAGTGGCTCACTTTGTTAAGAGCACGAGCTCTGAGCAACAGGGTCGCCGGTTCAATTCCCACATGGGCCAGTGAGCTGCGCCCGACCTGAGCTGCTGCGGAGCTGCCAACAGGTGGCAGAATTGTTCAGCTGGTGAGAGCACATGCTCCTAACAACAGGGATGCTGGTTCGACTCCCACATGGGATGGTGGGCTATGCCCACCGGCAACTAAGATTGAACACCGCACCTTGAGCTGAGCTGCCCTGAGCTGCCGACGGGCAGCCGGATGGCTCAGTGGCTAGAGCATGCTCTCTTAGCAACAAGGTTTCTGGTTCGACTCCCACATGGGATGGTGGGCTATGCCCACTTGCAACTAAGATTGAACACGGCACCTTGAGACGGGCGGTCAGATGGTGACTGGACTTGGAGCTGAGCTAGCTGCGCCCTCCGCAACTAAGACTGAAGGACAACAACTTGTCTGTTTCCCTTCCCCAATTCCCCAATTAAAAAAAAAAAGTGATAAAATTGTGGCCCAACAGCCTTTTTCTGTCAAAGGAGGAGAAGCCCCAGGCTCCTATGCCAGGAGAAGAGGCCAGACAGGCCCCTCACCCATTTGCTGTCCCAATAGGGCCTTTGATGAGGGCAAACAACACCTCCTGAGCCTTTTGGTGTGCCAGGCCCAGTGCCAGGCACTGTGTGTAATGCGAACAGAACACTGGTCCTGCCCTCGAGGGAAACACAAAGCGATCGTTTCCACATACTGCGGGAAGTGCTACATAAGAGGAAGGTACACGCACCACAGGGGCAGAGAGGAGGGACCTCAGCCTCCTTAGCAGACCCGGAAGTCTTCTGAGGGGTCAGGATTTAGGTAGGTAGACGGGAGTGAGGGGCACACCGAGAAGGAAAAGGGAGGATGTTCCAGGCAGAGGGAGAATAGATGCCAAGATCTGGAGGTGTGAAATAGTACGGTGGCCAGGCCAGCAGGCAAGTTGGAATGACCTGAGCTACCAGTGACCACCAGGGAGAGGTGGGCAGGGCCTCAGAAGCAGACGGAGGAGCTTGGCCACTCAGAACTTCAGCTGGGAGGGTCATGGGCAGGCCGAAGTGGGTGGCATGGGGGCTAGAGCTGTTAAGGGTTTGGGTTCTGCAGGCACGGGCACCTGGACTCAAACCCCTCATCTGCCTCCATCCGCTGTGAGAACTCAGCGAAGACACCTCACTGTTTTGAGCTTCAAGTCCCTCTGCAAAATGGGCGTTAATACAGTATATGCCTGTTATACAGTAAAAATTGAATAAAAAGGAGCTACTCCCTTTTCCACACAGGCTCTAAAAAGCTGCAGCTAGCTGAAGGAGGTTTGCAGACCAGGGGCAGCTCCTGCTTTTGTCCCAAAGGGAAAGAGACTGGGGCCCCAGAGGGAACCAGAGGCCTGGGCTTGCAGTGCCACCTGGTGGCCAGCGGGGGGCAGCCTGCAGCTGAGGCAGGTCCCGCCAAGGTGCACTTCCCAGAGGCTCCTCCCTCAAGCCTGTGGGCAGCTGGTGGCTTTGTGAAACTTTGGCCTTTCCTAGGTCTGGCAGGGGCCACCTGCTTCAGGACAAGGACAGCAGCCCAGATCAGTAGGGACAGAGAACAGTAAGAGTGGCTCCATTCCCGGGCAATGACTGGGAGCCACGTGGGTTCTGAGTGCTTTATAGCAGGTCTCATTTAATCTTCCCACAAACCCTATGGAGGAAAGATGAGCTTGGTGAGGAAACTGAGGCACAGTTAAATGACTTTGCCCAAGGTCACACATCCAGCAAGTGTCCAGGTCTGCCTGGCTCCAAAGCTGGTTCCATTTTGGCCTTATCATGCTGCTTTCCCCAGGGGCTGAAGGAAGGCTGAGTGGCAGAGGTCTTGCCCTAGGAAGGAACCAGGCTAATAGCTCTCAGGGCCTGCCAGGGACTGGACTATACAATGAAGCTGTGAGTTGGTCTCAAGTCCAAGCCCAGCAGCCTCCAGGGCTACCACCCCCAAGAAGGTGCCCCTCGCCATCCCTGATAGCCTGTCCTGCCTGGGATGTGCAACCATTCCCATACCAGAGCCACAGGAGGGCTTGGGAACAGTGCCATGCCTCGTTCCCAGTGGCCTAACAGGACTGAACAGGAAAGGAAGTTGATTAGGTGCTGTGCAAGGCCCCAGGACTCTGTCTGGTCTGATAAACACCTCACAGCCACTCAAAGGCAGGCCTTAACCTGCCTCACACTGCAGATGAGGAGAAAGAGGCTCAGAGAGGTCAAGTCTTCTGTAAAGGTCACACAGCTGGCAGGCTGAAATGTGAACCTAGGTCTGTCCAAGGCCTGCTTTGGTTCACATCAGTTTCTAGAGTGGGAGTGGAGCAACACTCAGCAATGCCGAGCCTCCCGTAGTGTAGATCCCACCCCTGGGACCAGCCTACATGTGCCCCAGGCTCAGGAACAGGCACCAGGTCCTTCATGGCTCCTCCTGTGACTGGTACAGTGTCTACTACAGAGTAGGTAACTGTTAATGTTCTGATCTAAAGATATGACCCAGGCTGGGGGCAGAAGGGCCCTGGAGAGACTCACAGGCTGCAGCCCCAGGCCTGGCTGGGACCAGCTGGGAAATGGAGGGAGGCAGGGATCAGGTCCCGAGAGGCACCTTCTCTCTTAACCTCTTTGAATCTCAGGAGGCAGCAGCATTTCTTGGTCGCAGCGTAAGGAACCTCAGGGTGCCCAGGGCTGCCTTCCCCCCTCCCCCCTGCTCCAAGCTAACAGTGTCCTTCCCCTGCCCTGGCCCTCGTGAGACTCACCATGGTGCAGAGGCTCTGAAGCAAGCTGAGTTCACTCCTTTGCACTGAGCTGTTGGAGGGGGGGCAATCTTGTGGGTGCTACCTGGGTCTGAGCACAGTGAAGGCAGCAGCACCTGCAGGAGAGGGAAAGAATATGGGCTACAGAAGGCACCCAAAGCTTACTGGTACAACCACGCTTCCAGGCCCCAGTAATTAGGCAGCTTCCCCAGACTTTGATCCAAGTCTAAACTCCAGATGGAGAGGAGAGTGGGGCTGAGCAAGGTTTACGCCTGCACTTGCCTGCCAGAAGACAGATCTATCCATGCTGGGGACAGAGCTGCCTTTATGCCTTTTGAGTAGCAACCACCTCATCACCAAGGGGTGAAGAGACCCCCAGAGTAACTTCATCTCTTACACGGGCATCATATGCAATGAGTGAGTTTACAAACATCTTCATACACTTGCTCTTGTTGGTGTTGGTACTAAGCCAGGAGGGAGGCAACTGAGTTAGTGACCAAATTTTACTTCTAAGAAACTGACTCAGGGCGCTCTAGCGACTTGTCCAAGGTCATACTAGTAAGAGCCAGGACTTAAATCCATGTTGTTGACAAAAAATATCCAGCCTAAGAGAAAACTTATGAGTTTATTTGCGCCAAACTGTCGACAATTGCCGGGAAGCAAAATCTCAACGGACTGAGAAAATACTCCGCAAAATGGCAGTTTGCAGTTTCTTTTATACATAAAATCAAAGGAGGAAGGTTACATGAAATCCACTGGTGATAGATGAAGAGGGTGGGAGAAAGCAAAGCAGAGAAATCTTTGGGATTGGATAAAAGTCCATTGGAGAGACAGGTACTCCTCCCACACAGGTGGGTGCAGGATAGCTAACAGTTAGCTTTTTATAGCACATAGAAATGGTAATCAGGAGATAAGTATAATAATGAGGAATTTTGCAGTTTTCAGCTCTGGTCTGGAAAAAAGGATTAAAGATGTTATTTTAGGTACAGAAAGACAAAGACCGGGCCCACTGAAAAGGCACAGATTAATTTAATGAGGAAGCTCAAGATGTGACTTCCTGCCATGGCCCACCTTAGTTAAGAATTTTTATGTTCACACCATCCTCTGTGGTTATTTTTCAGTCTCCTGAGCTTGTCAGGTATAACATGTGGCCCCTTTTCTGTCCACAATGTCTAGTCTTTTTATAAAGCCTGTGTTCTTTCTACTGATAATTCAGTGCCTCTAAAATAAGGCAGAGTCCCTGGTGTGGGAAACCACACACGTAAACCACAAGGACGTTTTAGCTCTCCTCAATTCATCCTGGTTCAAAGGTGTCTTGGGGTCATCTAGGATCTTGGGCTCACTGTATGTGTCTGCAATGGAAAGCATCCACAGCTGGCTCTGCACCTAGCTCTGCTTCTGACTTACTGCAGGATCTTAGGTAAACCAACTCCCCTGAGCCTCAGTTTCCTCATCTGTAAAACGGGGGTTGCATCCTTTGTGCCATTCCACATGTGCTCCTACTCCTTGCAGAGCCTGTCTGACATGGCGTGGCCTTGAAGCTGTGGGGCTAAGAGACTGCTTTCCTGGGTCATTAAGGTTTTCTCACCAGGGAAATGCTGGTTTTGTTTGCGATTGGAATTTGTACAGCAATAGAGGCACTACTAATGCTGGACAAGTGGCCTGGTGGGCGCTTCAAAGTCTGATGAATAAAACACAGTTCATAGGGGAACAGTGAGCTTCCTGATGTTCCCCCGCAGGTGAGGAGGGGTGATGGGCCATTCCAGGGTCAGGTGAGGGTACCCGCTGGGTTTGGAGGAACTGGGAGGGTTAAGGGGAGGAAAGCAGGAACCTTCGTTCCTAGTCTGGGACGTGCACAAATTACTGTCACGTCCCTCTCCTCTCTTCGCCTCTGCAGTTCCTCCGGTTCCAAAAGAATGCAAAGGCCCGAGGGCTCTGGAGCAATGGAAGTGGGAGAGGACCGGGCAAAGGGCAGGACGAGGGGCGCGGACAGGGATTGAGGTCAGCGGGTCAGCTCCTGGGGCGGGGGGAGGCATCAGTGCAACTTCCCCACCCGCTCACGCCCGCATCAGGCACCTCCGTTACAGCAGCCGTTTTACAAGGATCCTCAACAGGCGCCCTCATCCGGGTCCTCCGGGCTCTGGCGGTAAGAGACTGGGCGGGGCCTCCGGGGCGGGGCCTCCTTTGGTTGGCCGCTTCGGGAGTCGTGAGTCCTCCAAGAGGCCAGGTGAGGCCGTCCCGTGATGCCCCGCGTCTCGGACGCTCTGGGCTGCAACGTGTCTGCGGGGTGGAGGCAGCGGCAGTGGAGTTCGCCGCGCGGGTAGGGTCCCCAGTCTCCTCGCTGGTGTCCATCTCTCTGTCGTTGCGCTCGAGTCCCGACGGGCCGCCTTAGGCCCTCGACATGTCGTACAACTACGTGGTAACGGCACAGAAGCCCACCGCCGTGAACGGCTGCGTGACCGGTGAGGCTGCCAGGGCCGGAGACCCCGGAGAGGGAGGGAGCTGGGGGGAACCGAGGCCTAGGGAGGCCCGCGGCCCCTGGGGCGGCCGGGCGGGCCCGGGCCCGGGGAATGGAAGGCGCTGGCGGCCGAGGAACGTCCCGTAGTCCACGACTTCAAAGGAGATGTTTCCACACGCGCCTTTTGGGGTGGGGGGCTCTAAAAGCTGCGTTCGAGGGCCCCTTTTCGTTCTTCCGGAGGTCACTTTTCCTCGAGTACAGGGACCGGCCCAATGGGACAGAGCAAAGTGTGAGTTGATGGCGCGGGGTTGCTTGGGCTCCTAGATTGGCCTTGTGTGGTCAGGGGATGGGGCGGTGGTGATGGCGACTTTGGGGTTAGAATTTTCTTGTGGGAGAGGCTGGCGGGCGCAGGAGGTGGAGGGACGCGAGGAATGCCCGCACTCACCCAAAGCAGGAGAGGAGCCCTCCTCTTTGCCTGGCGCTGTTGTTTACACTTGGGAACTGCTGGAAAACAGGATATGGACGCCCCAACCCAGTGATGAGTTTGCCTTGCTGACTTGTGCAAGGGTGGTTAAGAACATAGATGTCCAGACTCCAGAGATAGTCATCTTGAACCAGGTTTTCAGCAAAATACGAAGACCTCAAACTTGTGTGTTTATGTAAATACTAATTGTGATCCCACAGCAAAACTGTCATTTGGAAAGTTGGAGGCGGTGGAAGACTATGGACGAGGGGTGTTGGTAGACTACTGGGAGGGCAGGAGATGTGGACAAAACAATGTTTTAATATAAAGCGCTGAGAATTTTCTTCATTTGACCTGGTCTGTTTGGTAAAGACTTTGTGAAACTTTAGATTAGGCCTGAATAGAGATGAACACTTTCTTTAGCATCCCTTAATTAGAAGTTAAGTCTGCCACTGCAATAGGAAAAAATTTGAGGGCACAGAGCCAATCGGAAGGGTTTTCACAGTCATTGTCAGTTGAAGGACTTATGCTGGTCTTAGGCCCAGTGCAGTTTTCTTAGTCTGATTGGAGAAGTAGCGTTTTTGTAAACGAGTGAAGTGAGACGCTGAGGTGCTGGCGTGGTGAGAAGGGAGTGAACGGAGGGAGCCACAGAAATATGTGACTTAAATGAGAATTCTGGAGGTATTAGGTGGAAGTGATAGGGTTATTTACATACTTCTCTGGCTTCAAAAGTTAGAGGATCTGTTCTTTCAGGACACTTTACTTCAGCTGAAGACTTGAACCTGCTGATTGCCAAAAACACGAGATTAGAGATCTATGTGGTCACCGCCGAGGGGCTTCGGCCCGTTAAAGAGGTGGGCATGTATGGGAAGATCGCGGTCATGGAGCTTTTCAGGCCCAAGGTAAGTGGTCTAGGCTGGGCCCAGCTATGAAGACGGTTTTGTGTTGTTTTATACCATTGATTAGGATGGGAGGAATAAGGCTTAGGAGAGAAACTACAGTGTTTGAATGGTGGACTTGATATTCACCTTAGAAGTGGGAGAGATTTGGCTAGGGAAAAATTGGTCAAGTTGACTTCTTTAGACGGGGAAATGAAAGCAGTTTGAAATGTGGGTCACCATACTGTGGGTCGTCATGGTGATTCAGAGCGTTGGCTCTGCCGCAGGGCAGTCCTGGCTTCATTCCTTATTAATTCTAACTTTGGGTGTCACTTGACCTTTCAGAGCCTTATTTCCCTATCTGCAAAAGGGGATAACAGTATCCAATCCCTTGGGTTAGTGTGAAGGTTGAATGATTTAATAACACAGGGCCTAACACAAGCATTCACTGTTGTGTTAACAATTATCCTCACAGTATTATCATCATTATTATAATTCAAATGTTTTCATTCAACTAGCCACCACATTGCTTCGTTATATCTTAACTGAATCTGACCAGAAAACAATGGATTCAAAGTTTTAATTATAACCTATTACACAAAATACATTTTGGGGTTTTGTGTTAATAGTAAGTAAGACTTTGTGGATCCATTTTAGCTTCCATTGTTATTCACATTTCCCCCCTTTTCAAAGACTTGGAGAGGATTGGAGGATTCATTACATTTGTCTTTTGGAATTTGAATGGAATGATTGAGTTTAGCTTGATTTGGAAATAGATGAAGACATTGTATGTAGAGCAGAGAGATGGAGAATCATGCAAGTGAGGACTAGATGTTTACCAGCTTCAGTTTTGGCCTTTGGTACAGACCCTTAGGGTGTGTGTTTGCACTTACGTGTGTTATATGCTCACCCTGGATTTTCTCTACAGGGAGGAAAAAAAGTTCTTAAAGAGCTCGGTATACTTAAAGAATAATGCTTAAGGGCTAGACAGGTGTTCCTGTTTTAAAAAGAACCTCTTTTGATAGCATAATGTTGGTTTCAGGGGGAGAGCAAGGACCTACTGTTTATCCTGACAGCTAAGTACAATGCCTGCATCCTGGAGTACAAGCAGAGTGGCGAAAGCATTGACATCATAACGCGAGCCCATGGCAATGTCCAGGTGAGGTGGCTGCTTCAGGCTGATGAGAGTTTTCCAGGTAGGGCTGTCACGATTTGATGAAGAAATTGGAAGTGCTGGGGGCAGCTCTCTGTATGATGAGAGAAACAAGGAAAAAACACTGAGGGTTTCAGCTTTTATGAAGAAAGGACTTCTGTAG